TTTTTTAGCAGAAGACAAATGTCTTATGGCTTTCCGTAGTTTCAGGAATTTCTGCAAGCAATGGCAATGTTACAGCTTCTCAGAACACTGTTGCAGGAATCTTTGATAATAACTTAAGTAAAGCTCTCTGAAATCTTTAATTTGGGCTTGAGCTTGAGACTGGATTTTCCACGTAGCTGTTTCAGCTCCGTGTTGCTAGTTCTTGGCAATGCTACTTCTGTTGAAAAATGTACTCTTTATCCATGACAGGTGAATCTTAATGCTTCAGGAAGTAGTTTTCTTTTAACTTGTAATATTTCACCTTAATTTTCAGGATAAATAATAATAAAATATCTTCTCTTCTGTGTTCATATACTGCAGCCTCTGCTCTCTGCCTTTGGGATTCCCATTCCCACTCTGTTGCAAAGTGGGACAAATGTGAACACGTCCCTAGGGCAAAAGTGGACCCAGCACAACTTTAGCAATGTAACTGTTTGGGTTGAAAGGTCTCTTTTGTATAAAGTGATTCCTGAAGCCAAGTCCAGTGAGAAAAACAGTAGAAACAGGAAGAGAAAGTAGAGGATTCTAGCAGTGTAACAGTGAGTGGAGCTTGCTTTCACTGTTTGTCTTAATGTAGAATTGCAACGTGGAGTACACACATCAATGTTACCACAATCCATTGCTATTGAAGTCTATCAGTGATGGGAAAAATTCAGAAGTTGCTATTGCACTGCTGATCATTTTAATGAAACTATTCACCCGAGAGTTTAATTTTGATATCTGGATGTTAAAAATTCTCTTTCATGAAGGCTCTCAGGAAGCCGTGATTGTGCGTGTCCCAGCTGGAGAGTTCTAGGGACTTCTCCCCCCTTATCTGGTACTTGATACCGGTTGGTGTCTCTAAGCCCAGAGTTTTTTGTTTTTGTTTTTTTTGCAAAATCTGAGAAACTTAAATTTGTCTTGATGTCCACATGGCCAAAGGGTTTCTCCAAATCCAATTTATTTAAATTGCCTCTATTTGAAAGCTATGTGCCTGATAATCACTTAATTCATTTTTCATCAGTAGTCAATTTTGGGCACTAGGCAACTTCGAAACTATCTTTATTCTAGCAAACCAGGGGTTAAATTCTTGATTACAAGACTGGAAAAGCATAAAATTGAGAAAAACAATTCTAAGTAATTCTAACACTTTGTGATAAGAGTATTCCTTAGTTGCTTCAAAGCCGTAGCTCATTGTAGAAATGGAAGCTGTGCTGGTCCCCTTTCTGAGGGCTCTCCCTAGAATTACTTCAAGTGGTTGAACTCTCTGTTTTTTTTTTTTTTTTCCTTGCAGTGAAGTCCTCCTCCTCTGCTTTGTCTCTCCCCTTTTCTTAAACTTCCTTCCTGCTTTAAGGAAAAGCAGTCCAATTTTAGTAACGTTGAAGTCTTGAATCAAACAGGGCTTGACTGATTTCTGTGATTGGGTGACTCCTCCTTTCCTGAGCATCTCTGAATTCATATTACCTTTATTTCTTAATTTGGTCCTTCTAACTTAAATAGCTATCTTGCTGCTTGCTGACAATCCCCAAAATATATTTTAGAAATTGTGTCTTGATACACAAACGTTGTCCAATTTAAGAGAGTTCACAGAGAGCATGTAATATATTAATATGACAGTTGACAGATTTGGCATTCAGATTGCTTCTGTAAATCATTTCCTCATCAGTTTGTTCTTTTTGCAAGTTTACAAACATTTGTCGGACTTGTTGGATAACTCAGTTCTTTTAAAAGATTCTTCCTTAATGAATTTGCCAAGGTAGAGTCTGATTTCTTTTTTTCTGAGGCTTTGAGATGTCTGATAGCAGGGCACTGATTTTTATAGCTGTAATGTGCTTTCCAGTAGTCCAAAACCAAATTATGACTAGTGGAACAAAAAGGAAAAGAAGGAACAACTAAATAATAGATTGATTAGTTTATGGAATATTCTCTCGATGGAAGTAGTGGCAAGTCGTATTTCTGTGGTCTGTGGTTTTCTAAGTAATCCTTGAGAAAATGGGCAGGTTCATGGGCCTACCACTTTGGCTATTGAAATGTTTTGACTGAAATTTGCCAACCCCTAAATGTATTTTTTTTTAATAGGCTAATTGAAAAAAAAAAATTTAAAGAAGCTCTCTGTTGAGAACCTTTTGAACTATATTCCGAATGAGAGTAGACATACATAAACTGAATATTTTCTTTGGTTCCTCTGGAGAATATTTGCTGATACTTTGTAGCACCAGGTAACTTTCTAAATCAGTGGCTGCTGAATAAAATTATTCAGCTGTGTGAAACCTGACATAAGAGTTCATAATCCCCATTTTTTTCTATTTCCAGTATATATATTTCTTGCATTTGATAACTATTGGATCTTCTTGCGTGGATGTTTTTGCGTTTTAATACTCTGATCCATGACCATGCCCAAAGGAGTAAGATAGGTCACTGGAGAGATTTGTTCCTGCATGAAATCATATAAAAGTAAAGTAAGCACTGTTTCTGTTGAGTAATTGTGTCTCTGGTTATGTAACGTTTTTCTCTCTTTAAGGTGGTTTGATATGCAGAGTAGTCCAAGAAAGCCTACATGGAAATGCAGACAGATCACAAAGAGGCAATATGCTGACTCTTTTTTAGAGGCTGAGCTGGCCCTTCTGCATGCTGTAATTGATTTTTAATCCTATTTAGCCTTGTCCGTAAGGGCAGGCAGCCAAATTCCATGCAGACTCGGGATGGAAATTTACTCCCATATACTTAGGCTGAAGTTTAAAATAAATATGCAGGTGATAGTGCGCAGCAGTTTATAGCGACAGCTCTGTGTACCTCACGTGCATTTTGGCAGTGATGTATTAAACCACAGTGAAGAAGATGGAAGAAGGGAGTGACTGGTTCATTTGCAAGTTTGGGCCTTGCTGAATAGTTGGTGTTTCTCCAAGTTCATTATCCCTGTTAGGAAGACATATGTCCTGCATCTTCAAAGAGGCATGAACATTACCAGCCTTTTTGCAAGACTGGCCAGATGAGTCCCCATGTAAGGATAATCAGTTCTGTTCCTTGGTAAAATTGAATACTTATGGTAGGACTATTTGATTTCTTTAATGAACCTGTTTAAAAAAAAAAAAAAAAAGCGCTCATACAAAGTGCTCAATTGTCAGAGCCTTGAGCTCGATTCTGAAAGGCTGGAGACCATGTGAATGTTTTGCACCAGCCCTAGTAATGTGCTGAAGGGCCACCGCTAAAGATTAATTCAGTCACTATGATCTGTTCCATCCTTGGCAGA